TTCTGCTGTAGTTTCTTGGTCACCCAGACCAGCCAAGTCACTGTAGACTGAGACTACAGAAGGGCATGAATAGGAGAGAAAGGAATGTGGGCATCTGGAGGCTCACTACCACGCTACCACACCACCACACCAAGCCATGGTAGGCTCAGAATAAATCTTCAACTTACATAACCAACAAAGAATTAGCATATGGAACTTACCAAGAATTCTTGTAAATCAAAACAAAAAATACAAACAAAATAAAGAAAAATAAAAGACACAGGGACAAGCAATTCACAGAAGCAGCAACATAAATTGCATATAATCAGCATTCAAGTGTTATTCATTAGTACCACATTAATTCATGCTATTTACCCATCATTAAACCACAAGCTTCAAATATTTTTCTAAAAATAATCTACTTATATTAATTCATCCTTGGTCTTTTTTCCCCACTTATCCCTTGTCAATGACCAATGTCCATTCTAGAAGCTAAGGATAAAGGTAGTTTGTGGCCACAGAAGAGACATAGGTTAATTTATCCAATACTATGAGTCCAACCTCCAATCTTGGGCTCAGGAAAGTAAAATGATACAACCCAGTCAACCAGTCTTCATGTGGGGGTGAAAGGGGATAAGAACTACAGTGAGGAATTTGCAAAAGGTCAACCAGTTATTAAGTACTTTTTTCACCTTCATGTTCTTTTTACTGTGCTCTTTAAAAACTGTAATGAGTACCCCAAAATGAAGAAATATTAAATGTATGAATCTGCAATCTTCTACTATTCCATGGTCTGACATTCCTCCCAATGACTGACTCTACGTTATCATTTTCTGATTGTCCCTTTAAGAGAGCAGGCCTCAAACTTTTTAGTCTCAGGATCCCTCTTGTACTCTTAATTATTGAGAATCTCAAAGAGCTTTCATTTAGATGGGTTTTACCCATCAACATGTACAGTAGGAGAAGCAACTGTAAGAATTTTAAAATATTTTATTAATATTTTTATTTGCTAATAACATTTTATTGAAATTAAATATTGTACTAATTTATTTAAAAATAAACGCATGACCTGTTTAAATAACATTATCAGACGTAACTTTATTTTCCAAAACAAAAAGCTTTTAGTAAAGAGAGACACTCTTTAGATTTTTAAATATCTCTTTACTGTCTGCTTTAATAGAAAATGACTAAATCTGTTGTGATGAGTTGTTTTATTCGAAAAATACGAAAGCTTGGCCTCATACAGCTATGTATTTAAGAAAAGGACAGAATTATTTTAGTAGCCTTTTCAGACAGATATGTGGCTATTCTTTGATATAATAAAAAAATATAAAAAGTGTATTTATTTACTTACTTAAGAAAGGGGGGAAAGGAGAAAGGAAGAGAGAGAAATACTGGTGAGAGAGAAACATCGCTGGGGTGCCTTCCATACAAGCCCTGACGGAGCCCTGACCAAGGACCAAACCTGCAACCTAGGCATGTGCCCTGACTTGGAATCAAATCCTGAGACCTTTCAGGGTGCAGGATGACAGCCAATCGAGCCACACAGGCCAGGGCAAAAAGTGTATTTATTTCTTAAACATCTGCAGCAATGTGGAACTTCAAACCATACTGGTGAACTTTTACTACTCTCTTATCTATTGGCCTATTTTGCACTTTGCATCTCTTTTCTATGCATGATTTTGTAATATCATGCATTTGGTCATCTGGAAAATATTAGTTCACTATGTTAACCTTTCATTGCACAATATTCCAGAAAAAAAGTGCTAATATAACTACCAATCTCATCATAAATGCCTTTAAATGTTGAAAAGTTGTCAAGCTCATGGCAGCAGATAAAGTTTTCCAAGATTCTAATTTTCATTTAAAAGCTCCATATCTTCCTCTTAATGTTGCTATAACCCCAATACTTCCTTTAAAAAGTAAAGCATTTAAGGGGGGGGGATAAAAGAGTACTCAGAAAAAGCCTTTCTCAGGAGGCAACATTTGAAGTGAGGAACCCTTCACTGAAGAATTTACTTAGTGTGCATCAAAATCATCTAGAGGGTTGTTAAAACAGACTGCTGGTCAGAAGGCCTTCAGTGGGCACACAATTTCCATTCCTAACAAGATCATAGATGATACTGGTGCTGCTGGTCCAGAAGCCACACTTGGAGAACCCTCAATCTACAGGGAACGGCTAAAGAATGTGAGTAACTTTGGTGTGTTAGAGGAACAGAAAAAAGGTCAGTCAGAAGGGAGGGTAATGTACCTGTCATCGTTTCAGAACCACTTAAGATGAATTAAACTACCAGCTATGGCTGCCAAGACCAGATATGGAACCACAGGTTGTTCAATAAAACCTTGCATTTGCAAAGCATTTCACAATTTATAAAAGCATTTTCACATTTATTATTTAATTTGACTTAGTGAGATATTAAGTGAAGGACTATTAGCTACATTTTAGAGAGAAACTGAAGGACAGAAACATTATGAACCTTTGGGAACTAGGAAACAAGTGGTAGACCTCTGTCCCCTGACTCCAAATCCAGTCAGTGTTCTTTCCAGAACAGCATGCTCACTACTTTAAAGAGCAAAGCGAAAGATAAAAACAGGAGTTAATACTAACATTATTTCCTAGACTCCCTGCCTAAAAACATGGTGGCTGCCAGACTTAGTTTGTTCCATACACTGGTTAGAAAGCAGTATTTCCTTGAGACGAACAGTACTTAGTCCCATCTACTTATTTCTCCTAGTTCAAAACAAAGGATAGAGAAAAGAAGAGGGAATTTACAGACTATTATTCTCTCGTCTGCATAAATATCAGAGAGCCAACTGCATTACCTCAGCCCCTCAGCCACAGCAGCCAAACCCAATTTTTATCCTGTGCGCCCTCTGAATCTCTCACCTAATCCAGGTTCCCACAAGAACGCTGAATCCCATTTGTCTTATACACCCATGAGGCCATGAGCAGTTAGTTACTTCCACAACCATTATACACCCCTCTCCACGCCCCCCACAACACACACACACACACACACACCCCACCCCCGTTCTGTACCTGAATTATTTTATTTGCACTAACAGCACTGCCACCCATCAAACAAGAAACCTGGAACTGTGGGCTCTGGCTGGGTTGCTCAGCTGGTTAGAGCATCATCCCCATACACCAAGGTTGTGGGTTCCCTCTCTGGTCAGGGCAGATACAAGCAGCAACCAATGAATGCATCAATAAGTGGACCAACAAATCTCTCCTCCCCCCTCACAAAAAGCCATAAATAACTAAATTAAAAAATCTGGAACTCTCAAGGCTTCAATCTCCATTACCACAGCTACTTACAATTAGTTACTACTACTAATAAACTAGCTGCCATTTCATTAGCAACTATCATGTACTAGTCACTATACATACTTTCTTCTATCAATGAAATAACCCTATGAGGAAAGTGATTCTGTCCCTGTTTCACAAATGAGAAAACTTAGGCTGAGAAAAATTTATCTGTCCAAGTCACAAGTAGGAAGTGTCAAAGTAAATACCCAAACCCAAATATGTCCCCCGAAGTCAATACCGTTCCCCGACAGCAAAATGCTCCCTTCTTTAATACGTGACATCAGCCCTTCACTACCCATCCCAAATGCTAATTTCTCACCTCGATTACTTCCAGGATCCTCCTAACTGGTCCTGCCTCCAGCCTTGCCTTCTCCTACCCTTCAAGGTGCCAAAGTCCTTCAGGAATCCCTTTAGCCTACACTGTACAGGATACACCCTCCAGGATGAATCCCAAATCCTTAATGCAGATCCAGAAACCCGTACTACCTGCAGCTCCAAAACTCAAAAGCTTTGTGAATTTTTTTCCCTCACAAATCTGTAACAAAACCCACCCTGAATTGTGGAAGGCTATTTACTGTCTACCATATTAGTGTGATATCTGTATGTTTCACTACAGAAATATCAATGTGTTGTTAACCCAGGCCGTGCTGGAGTATTAGAGACGTTACAAGGAAGAAAAATTTCCTAACTATTCTGAGGGGTTTCGGATAAGGGACTGCAGATCCCTTACCTATTCAGCCCGTGAATCCAACTTGATTTCCACTAAGTACCTTACACATCCCTTCACCGCAGGGATGTGTAAGGTGCCCTGTGCATTACTCACCTTTCAAGAAACCTGCTCAAGGGTCTTCAATTTAGCGAGGTCTCTCTGACCTCTAAATTGTGCCACACCATTGCAGCAAGTACCCACCTCTATTGCGATAGGTTCTATATTTGTTTCCTTTAGGCTGTGAATAAGCTCCTCAATGAGTGTTTTACTCAATCCTACAGTGTCTGGAACACCAGAGGCTCAATAACGTACAATGAACTGAAATTCAGGCCCGGCTCTCCCTTATTTCCAATTCCCTTCAGAGTTCGTTTCTCCTTCACCCTTAAACCTTAGTGTTTTTCCCTAACCATGCAGGCCTCTCGCAGCTATTTTCTTGCCAGAGTTTCTCCTTCCCAATGTCACCTTAAAATTACTTTCTACCAGACGCCTTCTCTTAACTCCAAACTCTCCAATGCCCTTTATCCTCTATTTAATCCTAGTCCTTCTTTCCTCTAGATCTGAACAGGTCAAGTCCTCTCCGCTAGAACAATTCCCCCTCACGGCCCTCATCTCTTACCTACTCCCTCCTCAACACCTCTCCCGGCGCTGGGCCTTCCCTGCCCAAACGCTTCCCACCAGCCGTTTCCCAGACCCCTTCTCTCCCGAACCTGCGTCCGGCCCGAGTCCACGCCTTGGCGGCCAGTATTCGCACCGCACAAACCCCCCCTGGAGCAACATCCCCTCCCCCAGTCTCCCGCAGCTGGCACCCCTCCCTCCACCGTCCCCGTATCTCTGGCGGTCCAGCTGCTCTGGAAACTGTCCCAGGGGCCGTGTCTTTCACCTTACAACCCTCGAGACGGCGCCGGTCCGAGCAGCCCCGGGCCCGAGCACCTCCGTCCCCAGCTCCTCCTCGGCCCCACCAAGCCCCTTCAGCCCAGACCTCGGGCAGGGCCTCCCGCTCACCTTGCTGGATGTCGCCGTTGCTGCCCCCCGGGATGGGCACGTTGAGCTGGCGCTCCGGCTCCGGCAGGCAGCGCAGGCAGAAGGAGTGAAGGCAGGGCAGCAGCTTGGGCTCCGCCTCACGCCGGCTCTGCAAGCTCTGCTGACACACGGCGCAGGTGTCCAGGAGCGAGGCTGGCGGTCCAAGAGGCGGCCCCGCCGAAGGACCTGGAGCGGGAGCTGAGGCTGGAGCCGGGGCCGGCGTCAATACCGCCCCCCCGGGAACTGCAGGGCCCACTGAGGCCGCAGGGGCTGAAGCAGCCGGGGCCGAGCCGGAGGAGGCCGCGGCCACCCCCCCGTCGTCGGGCCCGGCCGCGCCGCTCTCCGCGTCGGCCCTGCCGCCTTCCTCCTCCTCCTCCTCCACCAGCACCGCGGCGAGAGGCGGCTCCGCCTCCTGCGCCGCGGGCCCGACGGCCCCGGCAGTTACCGGCGCACTGCCGCTGCCCCCGCCACCGCTCTCAGCCTCGCCGCCGCCTTTGTTTTCCGCCATGTTTTCCTCTTTGAACCCGCCGGACCGCCCCGCGCCGCCCGCCGCCCGCGCCGCCACCGCCCCCAGCCCCAGCCGCAGCCGCAGCGAGAGCGGCCGCCGAGAGCGAGCAAGCGAACGAACGGACGAGAACGCGCGCGCACGCGGCACCCCCGCCCTCGCGTCGTGCTGTGGATGAGGGGCCGGCGCGGCGCGCGCACGTACGCAGGACGTCCTCGGAGGGAGGCGGGAACTCCGGGCGCGGGCTCGGAGCCGTCCTCGCAGCCCCTCCGGACCTGCGGTCCTGCGCGTTGCGACGCCGCAGTTCAGCTCGCTTTTAAAGCCAGGGGTGGTGTGCGCCGCACTACCTTAGGCTAGGGCTGGGGTTGGTTATGAGCTGGGACGCAGAGGTGGAGCCGGGAGAAAAGTGAAAAGGATGGAGGGGTAGGAGTCCGGGGCGGGTTCCTGCAGAGCGAGCGTCTCCCGGGTGGCGCGGTCCCCAGAGGAGGGCGCGTCTCCGCGGAGACCTCAGTTGCACGGTCGGACGCCGGGCCCGCCCGGCTCTGAGGTGCTGACCTCATGGGTCTATGCTTTAAGCGACCCGGTGCCCTTGAGTGGTGGTACCTCAAGGGAGCAGTTAAGGGGCTTGCTTGCTTGCCTTTTTTAAACTGAGGGCCTACCATAGATAAGCTGAAAAGACCTGGTGAGGAAGAAACTCTTTAACAGCTCTGTTTAGATTCTTAAGGTGACTGATTCGCAGACGTGGCTTCCTATCAGAAAACCAATCAACTGAGGGCTCTTTCAAAGCCGAGATAGCAGGACCACACCCGAGACCTGCATCAGGAAATGGGGAGGCTGAAGGATGTTGAAAAGTCTCTTGGTCTGATTGCGATGTGCGTCAGTTTGGGGAGTCACCAGTGTTAAGGATTACGAATGCCCTAGCAATGTTGGTAACAGATGCTCTCAGAAAGGGTTGTCTCTATTTGACAAACAAGTACTCTGAGGATTTTTGTGTAATGCAACGATTGTTTTAATGTTGGAATCATGAACTCCTTTTGTGTTCTGACAGTGTTCCCAAAAAACTTAGTCTTTGAGCTGATATATAAATCCTTAAAGGAGGCCACTTGGAAACATTTTTAGTTTGTTCAAAAATACCGACCTCTACTATGTATCAGATAGTGTTTTAGAGATTCTAGGGTAACAGCAGAGAGTAAAAGACGTCCTTGCCTTCAAGGAGTTTCAAGATCATGAAGAACGGAGTGAAGAAATAAAACGGAGTCCCTATGGTCAAGCTACTAAATGACTAAAGTCAAATAGGTCGAGGTATGAGGAAACGATTCTGTTCTTGTTTTAACTAGCCTAGGAGCTTAAACTTTTGAACTGTCTAGCCCTGCAGCAATGCCTGGATATGCAACAGACCTCCAGATCACCCTCTGATTACCCCTGAAGAACTTACCAGTTTGGACTAACTGACATCTGACTGATAACCATCCTGGACCAAATTTAGGGCTAAGAATCACAGGACTAATTATACTCAAGAATGCACTTCTTACTATAAGAACTCAACTTTTCTTTCTTCTTCCAACCACTTCCGGTTTTTGCCTAGCTGTGTTTCCAGTTTGCAAACCTCAAGGCCCTTGAATAAATCTGTCATTTATTTCTAGCCAGAGCCTCCAAACTTTTTTAGTTCGTTCAACACTAATGGGAGAAGAATGAAAATAAACATGTGCCAGGGAGTAATAAATGCTATGAAGAAAAAATAAGCAGAGTAAGAGATTAGAGATGATTAGGGAAAGGTTGTGTTGATAGGTGAATGAGCCTGTGGCTGTGTTGCAGAAGAGCATTCTGCAGCAGAGAAACAAACAGTAAATACTGAACTAAGGTGCTGAGGCAGGCAGAGATTCTTGGATTGTTGGAACAGCAAGGAGTCAGTATGGCTGTAGTGGCTTGACCAAGGGAAAGAGTAGGAGAACATAAGACAATTAAGGGGACCAGGTCATCCACAGAAATGCTCTTCAATTTTTTTTTAACTTTTATGCCCTTAAACTTTGAAAAAATATTTTCTTCTCTCAAACATTGTAACTTGACTCTAAAATTTTCATCATGAATCTAAATAGTTTTGCAATACTAACATTTTTAAATTGTTACATTACTTTTAAATCTATCCAGTGGGAAAGTAAACACGAAAGTGGCTTAACAAACACTAGCATCCGTTTTAAAGGTACATAATAAAAGGTGTTTTGTTAAATAAATAATAAACATAAAGGGTAAAGTGTTATTGGGAATGTTTTAATGAAATGGCTGGTAGTTTGGTTTGTTTTCAGTTTGTTTACATAGATGTGGGTATATACAGAATTACTAAGAGACAGGGTCCTGTATCAATTTCATTTTTATACACATAAGCACTGCATTCAAAAACTATAGATATATACATGCTTGTGTATCCCTTGGAAAAACTTCCTCCACTGGAGTACCCAAGGTACTCATTCCCAAGTTTTAAGATGCTGAGTGAGATGGGAAGTCTTAGATGAGTTTTGAGCAAAGACTCAAAGTCTAAAAGAATCACTGTGGCTTTCCGGGAGAAATCACTTGCAGGGTGTCAAAGTGGAAGAAGGAAAACCAGTTAGGCTGCTAACCCAATAATGGTTGATTGGACCAGGGTGGTTTCTGGGCAGGTGGTGAAAAAATATGGAGCATATATAATAAAAAGCAAGTACTTTTCTCCAAATTGACTTCAAAAAAAAAGTTAATGCGTTGAACTTCTCAACCTAAACCTTTTGATTTTTCTTAACCTTTTGATGCCTACTACTGCTTCCCTTTAATAAACTCTAGTATAAAAGTGTTGTTTTGAAAACTATATAATTTTATAGAGAGGACTAGTCCCCCCTTCCTCCATGCAATTTATCATGTGCTCTGAGAAGGCAGTGCCTGGAATTGAACTGTTGGAGTACTTGGGGATGTTGAAACAGATAACTAGCTACATCCCTGATTTGTAATAGAAGCCCAAAAAGCTTGCAGGAGAAACTGAAATCATTCTTGTAGCTGAAATACTGATAAATCTGTGGTGGAGAGACTGAATGGCATGAAGATTGAATCTGTGCTTAGAAGGCAAAATTATGAGTTTGAAGCCTGGTTCCACCTCCTACTAGCCATGTGATTTAGGCTAATGTATTTAACTTGCCCTAGTTTCCTCATTTGTCAAAGAGCATTTGTTACTAGTAGGACCCACCTCAAGTTTGACAATTAAATATTCATAAAATGCTATCAGTACCTGGAATAGGGTAAACATGAAAAGAATGTAAAGAAGACCCAAAGGTTTCTGAAAGGGACACATCTGGAGGGAGAAACAAAAGTACCTCAGAGATGGGCTGAACTGAGCAACAGTTATAGGTAGAGGCCATATCCAGCCATTCCCCTAACAGGCTATCTTTTACCCCCACCCACCTGCCTGAACATTATGAGAAAAACACATTTCTGAAATGAAAGAGCTATCAGTAGGTACCTAGGAGCTGTGCCATGGAGAAAAACACCCAGAAATTGCTAGTAACCAGAAGCGGAAGGAACTTTCCCATTATTCAGAAAAGAGAAAGAGAACTGGAAGTGATACAGGTGAGCAATGGTAAGAGCGTAATTCCTCAGCTGGGCATGGGAGGTTTGCAGCAGGAAGGCCAGTTCTGCAACTCTTGGACAGAGCAACCATGGTCCATAGCAGGAGTGGAAGAGTTCATGAGGACCAGCAGAGGAACGTTTAGCTACGATTGAGATATGGGGCATTTCTATTAATGTGCCATACTTAGAGTCACGTGCGGATGATGCTGTGGGTATAAAGGTGACATTTTGTGGTTTCAAGTTCACTTCTCTGAACGAGGTACATAGGTGCATGTGTCCTTGGACTTAGGAGACGTCTGGCTACAGAGCAGGGATCTTCCTAAGCACGTGTTGAAAGAGCCAACTGGAAATGGGCAATGTTGTAAAGGGCACGATTTTTGTTTAGAAGTGTGGCCAGTGCCACACCATGGAAAGAAAGGCAAGCACGAGAAATCATGGTCTGGCCCTGGCCAGGAGGCTCAGTTGGAGTGTTGTCCTGTACACAAAAAGGTTAGGGGTTCGGTTCCCCAGTCAGTGCACATACCAGTACCTAGGTTGTACAGGTTTCATCCCCCATCAGGGTGCATACAAGAGGCAACAGATTTATGTTTCTCTCTAACATCAATGTTTCTCTCTGTCTCTCCCTTCCTCTCTCTAAAATCAACAAATATATCCTTGGGTGAGGGTTAAAAATATACACTTTAAAATTAAAAAAAGAATGGAAATCATGGTCCATTTGGGCAGAAGATAAGTCAGTCCCCTGGATTCTCTTACACTCGCACCAACAAAAACAAAGACATCACCTGAGAAGAATGTATGGAGAATCCCAAGAAGGATCTCCCTGGGACAAAAACGCTCTTAGCTGGCATTAAGGAGGCAGAAAGGGCAGACTTGATAGCGTATCTCAAAGTACTAATGAGTAATAGTGGGCCATTGCCTTATTTGTTTAAAACAGGAATGTCTTGACTTCTTTTACATGTAATGTATTTAAATTGACCTCATACACAAAAATTCATATCATGTATGGCTGATAGAATATTTTTATTGGGCAGTCTTTATTTAAATAAGATTTGCTTGTTCTTAGTTGATACAATCAGCTTTGCTGGATAGAGTAATCTCAGATATAGGTCGTTGCCTTTCATGACTTTGAATACTTCTTTCCAGCCCCTTCTTGCCTGCAAGTTTTCTTTAGAGAAATCAGCTGATAGTCTTATGGAAACTCCTTGGTGAGTAACTGTCTCCTTTCCTCTTGCCTGCTTTTAAGACTCTCTCCTTATCTTTAATCTTGGGTGATGTAATTATGATGTGCCTTGGTGTGTGCTTCCTTGGGTCCAACTTCTTTGGGACTCTTTGAGCTTCCTGGATCTCCTGGAAGTCCATTTCCTTTGCCATATTGGGGAAGTTCTCCTTCATTACTTTTTCAATTAAGTTTTCAA